ATTCGGAGACCAACTAGAATGTGCTACGTCACTTTTTTGCTCCGTACCGGTGCTCGGTACCGCCCGGTACTGGGTGCATGAGGTGGCAGGTTCTAGTTGGTCTCCGGACTATCCGGTGTCCGCACAGAATAATTTCTCCATATAATAGGACAAAGAATTGTTGTTGATATTGTTGTTGTTGTAAGCATAATTGGATATCTTCAGCTTTTGTACTAATCATTATGCTAATCATTATAAATGATGGAGTACAGAGGTCGATAATCATAAAATTATTGTGGTTTTATTTGGGTCATATTCATGGCATATAAGAATTAAAGTCTTACCACTTGACATAATAATAAGATTATTAGTTATTATCGTTGACTGGACTATTTATTTGGTAATATGAAAAAGAATAGTCGGAAAACAAATTAAATTTTTACAAGTTTTCAAATTGTTATAATGAAAAAAATTAGAGATGTTATCATAAAATTATTAAATATTTGCCCATATTTTTTTGAAGTATGAATTGTTGAATTTTACATGAATGTTTAGAGAAATTCAACGAAGATAATTAATTAAATTATTTTGAAATGCTTGCAATTTTATATAATAGCGAGTACTTCCTAATGTCAAGAATATGTTATATTTAGAAAATATCTTAGAAAATTTACAAGTTTTTGAAAAGAATACTTATTGATTGCGTAAATATGATATGAATACTAGTGATGCTTGTGTTGTCTGAATGATGATGATAGCCTGACTACGAATCCTCTTGGAAGGTATTCGGGCAACCAGAATACCTAGTGTAAGTATTCTCTGATTTTCTCTTCGACTATCTGAGTTCAGTGCAGATTCATTTTGATTATGCTTCTTTTCGTGATTTGATTTTAATTTTTTCTCTTTTTATTATTTGATTTGTTGTTATGTATCTTTTTCTTCTTCTTTTTTTTTTTGCTTTCTCAGTATTTCTATGTTTGTATTATATTTTTTATTAATAAAATGACATACCAAAATTTTCCAAATAATAATAATAATAATAATCAGGCTTATTTAAGGGAGGTGGCTCCGAGTCATGTGAGGCTTATCATTTGAGGATAAGCCACATTTAACTTAATACATTAATACATGAAATTTGCACGTATATGATTATATCAATAGCGCACATTTGGAAAAACTTGTACACATAATAGTAGTGATAAATCAAAAAAATTATTTATGAGTGTTGCGTCCTGGAATATTCGCGACGGTAGAGAAATGTTTAGTTTAACACGCTCAGTTTGACTGTAAGCTCGCTGAAATCGGAGTTCAGGTGCTCCCGGATTTAATTTTTGAAGTTTCCAACTTGATTTTTGCCTCGAGATTCGTGCCCGATCAAGTTAATTTTCGCATGACGTATCAATGAGGAACATTCACAATATCATTTTGAAGCATATATTGAGTTATAATAATTATCATAAATGATAACATATGAAAATAAACAAACCAAACCACCCAAAGAAAATTTATATTTTTCTTGTCAATATGATCATGATATTCTATTTGTACAGCATACCAAAGGTTACATGATGATTAAACTTTCTATGTCTTAGTAAAATCTCATTTAAACCAACCAAAATCAAATATAACCCCAAAATACTCACACAAACGTCGAAATTGAAATCTAAAGTAGGGCATCGATAACTTATCTTAAGATGAAAAATTTTCTCAATTGACCCGACAAACGAATTAGACTCCACGACCTCCAAACTCAAGCTGTTTATCTTTCTCTCTCCTATTTCTCCTCTTTTCTCCCTTCTTCTGTTTACTCTCTTTAGCTTAGAAAATGAAAATTGGTTTTTGTTTGATGTTTTAAGATATTTATAACAAAACTGAAATTGACGTAGTGCCACAACTCTAACATTCATAGTGCTGTGAAGCTCCTAAGAAAAATTTTAATTATGGAATTTTCTAATGAAAAAAATCCTTAATGTTACAAAAGTACCCTACAACGTCATAGCGCTGCACTTTACAGTGTAGTTGTGCTCCAAGCTGATTCTTAATTTGTTCATACCCAGAGAGTTCAGCACCACAATGTTCCTCCCTTCAACACCAAGATACTCTCAAGTATGATTTTCTAATACTAAAATAGAGAGTTTTGTACCACATTGCCACTTTCCCCAATACCACAGTACTGCAAAGCAATAAATTTCTTAACTTAGTTTTAAGCTTCTAAATTTGATTTATAACTTTCTATAAAGGTCTTAATATAAAATAAATTAAGACAATGCACAAAGATTTAATAAAGATGTATTAGGCTCACAAACCTTACCTAGTATTTATCTAAATCATAACAAGAAAGCTCATTGTTATAGCAAGGGTTATTACACAATCCTCCAGCCTTTTGTTGATTGATTATAATTTTCTCACTGTCATCGTCTAACTATAGTCCTTAAACCACCACTGTTTGACTACAGTCCTCATAATTACTTATTTTTTAGCTACATCCTTTCCACTATTGTTGCTTGATTATGATCATTCGACTACCATTTCCCATAACATCTTCCAACCATTGTCGCTTGATTTTAGTCCTCCAACCACCGTCAACATACTGCGGTCCTCTAAGCATCGTCTAACTACTATTCTCCTACCACCATAACCCTATTATTGTCCTCTGATTATCATCACCTGGCTAAGATCCTAATCACCCAAATATGATCATATCATTTGACCACCGTCGTTGAATCATAACCATCTAGCCAATAATGTCTAGCTACATCGACACTTGTTGATTTCATCACCTGCTATCACTAAGAATACACATCGTCATCCATAAAGTTGATGCATGTCATCAATACTAATTATTACTGTCAACATCACCATTAATATTTAAGTTGGACTTCTTTGTCTATGATTATCCCTCCTCAAAGAAGTTTGTTCAAATAAACAGCAAACAATCTTTTGAAGACAATTTTTTTGTCGTAGTGCTCTTTCAATTTCTACCTTGAAATTTATCATGTACATTCTACATATACTATATTATATCAATATAATTTTAATTGTGAGAAAGGGGATTTGTAACTGATGACAAAGAGTTCTGAAATCTTTTCAACTTGGTCGTTTTTCTCATAAAAATATATGTCTCTCTGCCTTTATTCTTTGGAAGTGTTGAGTTTTCATTAAAATGTTAAGATATTAAACTCTCTCTCTCACTTTATCATTGTAAATATTTTACACCATAGTAATATATAAAAGGTTTTATAATATCAATCTTAATTTTGACGTATTAATATAGGATCATTAATTGGCACTGGTATAGGAAAATCAAATAAAAAAAATCATATATATTGATATGTCATCAAAAAATTATCTTGATCGGGCACAAATCTCGAGTTAAAAATCAAGTTGGAAACTTTAAAAATTAAATCTGGGGTCATTTGAACTCCGTTTTCAACAAACTTACAGTCGAACTAATCATCTCGAAAATACAAACCCGATGACACCAAATTCAACTCGATCCGAACCCAAATGGGTCCAAATCGAAAACCCGAAGCACATTCGGAAGGTTCAATCCATAATTTGGATTACAAACAGTTTCCAAATATGACATGTTTATAGTCGAATCGAGCAGCTCGACGAGACGAATCCAAAGAGCCCAAGATCGCCGAATTTCGATATCATTAAGACCTTCAAATGTCTGATGAATGGTCCACAATCAAGAGATTCAATATCGGCCATCCATCCATTCCACTCCACCTTTGCCCTTGATCCTCCTCCTATTTACGGATCATGCCACTATCATAAAACTATAAATAGACTCCTCATTTCTCTTAAGAGGGGACCCAAGCAAGAAGGAAGGAATAGGAGGAGAAGAGAAGAATTAGAAGGAAGAAACTCCTCCTCGACCACCGCCGGAATTCCGCCCGACTTTCAAATGACGCCGGAATTCCATCCGACTTCCAAGTGACATCAAGAATTCCGCCTGATTTCCATGTGATGCCGAAATTCCGCACGACCTTTAAGTGATGTTGAAGTTCCACCCGAACTCCAAGTGATGCTGGAATTTCGCCCGACCTCCACGTGACACTGTAATTCCACCCGACCTCCAAGTGATGCCGAAGTTTCACCCGAACTTCAAGTGACTCCGGAGTTCTGCCCGAATACCATCTAACGCCAGAGTTCTCATCGGTCGCCAACTGACATCGGACTTCTACCTAACGTCGGACCTCTGCTCGTCGCCAAGTTTCTACCCGACGGACTTCTGCCTGTTGTTGGACTTTCGTCGGACATCTATATCCGATGCTGGATTCTGTCCATAGCTGGATTTCAACCTGACGCCATCTTCTGACCTCCGTTGCCCACCGACTACGGTCCCTCTGACTTACGTCTCCATCCGATTACAGTCCTTCCGACTGGCCTCCGTCGCCTGCCGAGTACGGTTCCTCTAACTTACGTCGCCCACTGACTACAGTCCTTTCGACCTCTGTCGCCCGCCGACTACGGTCCCTCTGACTTACATCGCCCACCGACTACAGTCCTTCTGGTCTCCATCGCCCGCCGACTACGTTCCTTTTGACTTACGTCGCCCACCAACTACAGTCCTTCAGATCAAACAAACACATCAGCAGTGATTCTTTGTATTATCATGTAAAGTACTCTATAAGATGTACATCAAGCTAAGGCATTCCCCCAAGGAAGGGCCTCATTTGTAATCAACTGCAATATTAGTGGATTCATTCAAACTGGGCTATGCCCCGTGATTTTTTCCCATTTATAGAGGTTTTTCACGTAAAAATTTTTGTGTATCATAAATGTTACACCCTCTCTCTCTCTATCTTTGTTTGTTGGATCTTCGTACAAAGCTAAGAAGTTAAACTTTATATTTCTCTACCGCCGCGAATATTTCAGGACCAAATATATATATATATATATATAAGGGAGGTGGCGCCGAGTTATGTGAGGCTTATCATTTGAGGACCCAGATGCGCCACCTTCCAAACCGATCACATGCAACTCCCGCCTATTTAGCCCTGGCTTTCAACCTCCCTTCCTTCCCCAACTATACACCAAGCACCGCAAATTCCTCTTAATCCGTTCTTCCCCGTCTCTTTCTACCTTTGTATCTCTCTTCCACGCTGCTCCTCCCCCATATCCTCCACTCCCACCATGCCTCGATCCACCAACAGCTCCACCTTCTTCTCCCGCCGCTGCGTTTTGGTCAACGGACCCATCATCGTCGGCGCCGGCCCATCGGGCCTTGCCACTGCCGCCTGCCTTAAAGACCAAGGCGTTCCCTTTGTCATCCTCGAACGCGCTGACTGCATTGCCTCCTTATGGCAACGCCGCACCTACGACCGCCTGAAACTTCACCTCCCAAAAAAATTCTGCGAGCTCCCACTCTTCCCCTTCCCCAAAGACTACCCAGAGTACCCCAACAAGAAACAGTTCATCGAATACTTGGAATCCTACGCCAAGCAATTCGGTATCCGCCCGCGGTTTAATGAAAATGTTAAGTCTTCCAGGTACGACGAAGCCTGCGGTTTGTGGCGAGTGAGAACCACTTGTGTGAATGGCGAGGTGGAGTATATGGGGCGGTGGCTGGTGGCGGCTACCGGTGAGAATGCAGAGAGGATGATTCCAGAAATAGAAGGGATTTTGGAGTTCGGTGATGGAGTTTCGCATGTTTGTGATTATAAGTCAGGGAAGGAGTATGCCGGAAAGCGCGTGCTTGTTGTTGGATGCGGAAATTCCGGCATGGAGGTTTCTTTAGACCTCTGTGACCACAATGCATTCCCGTCGATGGTGGTTCGTGACTCGGTGAGTGATCATTAGATTCCATAATTTAGAATTTTCATTAATTTTTTTTATATTTTATGGTTGTTGTTTTGTAAATTTAAAAAAGAAAGTTTTTTTTGGTGAAGTATTAAGATTTGTCTTGCATGTTGAGCATATTGAAGAGAAAAACTACATAAATTCACTTTTAAGATACGAGAGATATTCTTGACCTTGCAAGGCAATTTATCACTATTTTTTGCAAGAAAAATATTTTTCCTGAAGATTCTCTTGTAAAATAAAAGGGTCTGCCTTGCAATTCATCAAAAAATTACTACTAGCACACCATGAAAGAAGTGTTTTTTCCAGCAAAAAAGTGTTTTTTCTGAAGGAGTTTCTTGCTTTCTTCATTTTGCAGGTTCATGTTTTACCATGTGAGATATTTGGGAGATCAACTTTTGAGGTGGCGGTTTATTTGATGAAATGGCTACCTCTGTGGCTGGTTGACAGAATTGTGTTGATCTTATCATATCTAGTTCTTGGTAACGTAGAGAAATATGGCTTGAAGAGGCCATGTACTGGTCCCTTGGAGCTCAAAAACACTCATGGAAAAACGCCAGTTTTGGACATTGGTGCACTCGGAAAGATCAAGGCAGGTGAAATAAAGATTGTTCCTGGGGTGAGGAGGTTTTTGCCTGGAAAAGTTCAGCTTGTTGATGGCACGATACTTGATATCGACTCCGTTATCTTCGCCACTGGATACAACAGCAATGTTCCTTCATGGCTGCAGGTAAACTTTCTTAATGTTAAAAAGTTAAAATCTTCATGTTCTTGCTCTTATTAGGAAAACTATTAGGTTCAGAAACCGGACCGAGAGATATATCCAAATTTCTCTGTCTACAGAAAAAGCGCAGTTATTGTAGCAACTACGTTTTGACTGTACTTTTACTATAGACAGAGAGAAATCCGGATGATTCTCTATGGCTGATGTCCGCACCTAATAATTTGCCCTCTTATTGAGTTACCGTGCGCTAACAAATCATTGGACTGAGCTGTTTCATGATTTAAATTTACAGGGGAGTGATTTCTTCGCAAACGATGGATTCCCAAAGAAGCCATTTCCCAACAGTTGGAAAGGAGAATCAGGGTTCTACGCTGTTGGCTTCACAAAGAAGGGGCTTCTAGGTGCATCTTTTGATGCAGTAAGAGTTGCAGGGGAAATTGGCAAAGTGTGGAAAGAGGAAATAAGACAGCAGAAGAGGCAAGGAGCATACCATCGGAGATGCTTCTCACAGCTTTAAGCTTTTGATTTCTTATACTTACTAACTTCCTACCTGAACCATTCTTTTGTTAAGAAACTGATTGTGTGATTGTGTAAATTAAGCAATAGGATTCTCACTCAAAGGAACCAATTTTGATGCTTATGGAGCTTTATTCACTTTTGGTAACTTTTGTACTACATTTTATTCCATTTCAATTCAATGGAAAAAAGGCTGTTTTCCTACTACTATCGCTTCAATAGTCAGTACTGCTACATTCCTCTGTCCCCAACTTTTGCTTCAGAATGGAATCCAAGGACTGTTATGCTTCTTTAATTCATACAGGACATGTTAAGTAAGCTTGAATCACTCACCGATGCTTAGTTTGATTGGTGGGCGAGTACGGTTGGGAACCCCCAATCCGTGCTCGATTTCCCTTGAGCGGCAGCGCTTCTTAAGGCGGGTCCAATTAAGTGCGGGTCAAGAGGTTTTCGGGGTGGGTGCCTCTTTTAGGTCAGTCGATAATTAGTCACGCCGCCAAACGTTTTGGGGCGGCAGCTGATGGATACCCGTTATCAAAAAAAATAGTAAGCTGGAATCAAGGGAGATTTCTGCGACTAAAGTGGCTAAATTTAGTTTGCAGCCTGGGCGCACAATTATTTTTTTGTCAGAGAATTGAATGTAAAGGGTAAAGGGGATCCATGACAGTGCAATATGAGATACTGAAATCTGTATCAATTATTCTGACAAGGAGATAAAGCTTCTCTACTTATTGCATATGGGTGATGAGAACCCAAGTTGCAACATAGAGGATCCCCCACCACAAGAACTAGAAAGACCCAACCACATGTAATTGACCCACCTAATCATTTGCTTTTAAGGATACTTACCATATAATGTAAAAATTCAAGCGCACGGTGACCACAATGTCTTGCAAAGTCTTTTTGAATTAAGCTAAAGTATCAAAATAAATATTTGTCTTGGATTTTTTTTTTCTTTTGAAGGCCTTGGCTTGCTAGAATTATGATGTAAGCATTGCATAAGGAGAAGCATAATCCAAAATTTGGTCCTAAGTTTAGCCACCCAAATTTGAGTTGTGACTCGGATTGGACTACTCACATTTACTCTGCCTATCCTAAGTGTGCTCATTCGAAGAGCAATAAATTATAGGTGATACATTTACATATAATTCACTTAATCAATATAAATTAACTATTAAGGTAATATTTGAATGGAAATTTAACAGAATTAAATTCAAGGTCATCCGTACGCCAATTTCAACCAAATTTATTGTTGAAATGAATGTCTTGATGTAACAAACTCATCAAAACAATAAGCAATCCGATCTGAGTATAATTAGATCTGAGTATAAATAAACCTAAATCAAACACTTGAAATATATTTAGAAACTTCGAGACATTAATTAAAGGAACAATCGATTTTCAAATTTTACAAGCTTATAGTCAAACCGAGCTTATAGATGAGACAAATCTAATGAGTTCAAAGATCATTCAATTTAGATATCTTTAAGGTATTGAAATGCTTAATAAATGGTCTATAATTAAGTAGATTAATACGAACATTCAATTTAGTATTTTGGCAAAAATGGCTAAAATGCACCACTCAAGAAATCTATGAAAAGCATATGATCATTTCTATATGAGAAAGGTTCAAGAGATGAGAGAGTTAAAAAAACTCTAACGTATTTTCCAGCAATCACTACAGTGAGTTGACCATATGAAGAATAGTTAGTTTTGAGGAAATTGTTATTATTATCTTTCTTGTTAACTAATTACAACATGTGTAGCCTCTTATGGTTGGAAATCAGCTACATCATTCCACCAAACACTTTACATATAGAAAAATCTTAATGAAAACCACCCTACTAACTAGCTACAAATCTTGCTCAATTAGGTTATAGAGAAAGGACCATAATAGCTATTTAGCCTTTATTGAAAGCATTTATCACACATAATGACCCCTTGGTAGGATTCATTGCTTGACCTCAAGTTCACGCTATATTCTAAAATTGATCCCTAAGCGTTCATCACAATTCATAGTCACTCAGGCCAAAGTATCCTCTAAGCCTAACGCCGTTAAACGACTTGGTGCATAATCTACTAAACTCACTATTAGCCTGGCTCATGTCTGATAGCTTATATCAGTCGATCATTGTCGTGATAAACACTGAGTGATAGAAGGTTACTCAAACCACTATGAGCAATAGAAATTTACACAATGGGGATAAATGATAGCTATGAATGGATAGAATTTAAAAAAATAAATAAAATAAAATGCTGATAACATATTCAATTCACTTCCTCATAATATCTCTTACCTTATGATGATCTCATGATCGTGTGGATAGGGGTACAGTATACCTGCCAAAAGGAATGTATGAAGAAATAATGCTGTCAGTTCATTAAAGCTATCAACTATCAAGGTAGATTTCTGTCAATTTTATGGATAGGTTTGTAATAATTGCCATTTGTAATGAGTTCCTATCAGCCTCTCCAATGTTTATTTTAATTTTCAACGGCAAAGAGTTAGATACAGTGACAGCTCAGAAGAACATACTCGCTATTCTCCTGTGTTTGTGTGGCCATAAATAGAGCCTTTACCCTTAGTGAATTCTCTCTTGCAATACGAATGAAGTTACTGTCCATTAGTATTGAACATGAACAACAGTGTTTTTTGTTGCAATTCGGAGTTCAAAACTTTAAGTTTTATAATTAATAAATATAAAAATAAAGAAAAATCCCATGCCTATATATATTTATAAAGATATAATCCACATAAATGTGATTAAAAATAAAAGAAAATTCATGCATAATATTTTTACATAATTTTAAATTTAAATATTTTTCAATTTTTTTAATTTTATTTAATCTAAATTTAATTTACATGTAACTATTTAATTTATATATAAATTATTACTAATCTATGTTAAATATTTGTATAATTTATACATATAAATCATAAACTATTTTATGCATATAATTTAAATTTAAATATTTTCTAAAAGACTAATGATGGTATAATTATCATGCAAAAATTATAAATTTATTACTAAAAAAATAAAAATAATATTTTCTATAATTTTAAATTTAAAAACAATTTTTTAATTTTATTTTGAGCATTTAATATAAATATAATTCACATATAAATTTATAAATTTAATATCAATTATTATTAATTTATGTTATATATTTATATATAATTTATATTTATATTTTAAATATCAAATTTTAATGAATATTGTAAACAATTTGTTTCCAAAAAAATTCTCTTGAAAGTAATCCACCATGCACACATTATAGAAATTTCAACTTGTTATTTGTTCTCACGTCACTTAGGATGTTTTTCTTATGTTGTTTATATAGCTTTCCTTATTTACATGAGTAAAGAGCCTACATAGGGTGGTGGAACAATGTCGTATGATTGGTTAATGCTTAATACATAATAATTTAAAATTTGGATATTATTAACTAAATTGTGTTGTATTTAAATTAATTTAATATTTAATAAAATAATTTATATAAAATTAAATTATTTAAATAGATTATGCATTGAACCGACTTCTTCTTAAAATCGGGATTAGTTCAACAAGTAAGTAGTTGAACCTGCGATTTAAACGGGCTCCCACCGGTTTGATGTTGAATCGACTTTTCATGAGGATCGAACTAGTTATATTTTGATTCAAGTTTGAACGGGACTAACCGATTAGCCCGATCTGATTTTTAAAACAATGTAAAAATATTTAATTAAATGAGATAAATTTATAATTGGTTATAACTAATCGTATTGTACGACCACCATATCGTACAAGACGATAATTTGATATATCTTGTAACCTTACCATCATTTAAATTTGATAATAATTTAAATTTTACAACTTTGTTCTAATCGTAGTATATGAATTTGTTCGTATTGTTTAAAGTTTTGAAAAATTGCCTAATTTAAATTAAGTAATCAAATTAGGATTAATTAAGATTGATGATCATACAGTATGATCAAGATCATAATAGACGATTGACATAGCGACCTTTTGGATGATAATTAATGATCTCAGGATTTATCTTGCATGAACTGCAATCGATTAAACTAATTGTACTGGACAATCATTGATCATACAAGTGAGAATGAACTAATCGTGTTATATGATATGTCCATTGTACTATACAAACAAAAGAGAATTAAAAGGTTATAATTTTTTTTATGTACTCTATATACACTTGTTATGACTTTGGAGGAGTTTTTAAGAAGTCAGAGGTTTGTTTCTTTTTGTGAGAGTGTAAGAAGATAGAGCATTGAGCAAAGGCGAGAAAGGATGAGGTTGTGTGAGAAGGAGAAGAGCCTTATGTATTGAAGGGAGTGTGAGAGAGATTTTCAAATGGTTGTTCCTGTCAACTTGCACCTGAGTTCTTCTGGGTGTATTTGTGTTTGTCTTAAGGGAAGCTTTGTCAAGAAACCTATGGTGTCAAAGGTCGTAGGCTACTCCACCGCATCAAGGAGGTGAAAGTGATTTCTGCTACTCTACCGCATCGAAGGGGTGAAAGGGATTTTGGCAACTCAGCCGCACTGAGGACATGAAAGGAATTTTAACTACTCCGTTGCATCAAAGTGGTAAAAGGGATTTCAACTACTCCGTTGCACTGAGGAGCTGAAAGAAATTTCAGCGACTCTGTCGGACAAAAGAGGTGAAGAAGATACTAAGGCTTTATTTTGAACAACTTTCTTTTTGTTTTTCTAAAACAACTTTTCAAAATAAAAATTCCAAGTTCAAAAAATATTTATACTAAAAAAATATTTTAAAAAGAATTTAAAATTATCTCAGAAAAAAACCCTAAGATGAACTGTATTGAGCTCGGGCATGCAGCTCATTGGTAGATGCAAAGCAATTCCCCCTTGGTGGCTCACATTTGAGGCCCCTAACATTCGCAAAAAACAATATGATGAACTCCATTTCTTTCACAAAACAATCATTAATTTCTTACACTTATCATGCATATAACGTGAGCTTTGCTTGTGCGTGTGCCTTTTTTTTTTGTTACAATTAAGTTAATTAAGACAGATTCATATAAATAAGATTCAAATTTAAAACCTCTTAATTAATAGCCTAAACTCCCAATCAACAAATAAGATGAGCTGTGTGGTGTGCAAATGTTATTTTTATCATTATAATTTCTTAAAATAATATAACCAGATAAAAAAAAAATAACAGCACTGTCAAAAGCAAGAAGATGGCAATCATGACCTCATGGGCAACAAGAGGAAAGATGGCT